TGGGAACGCCTCGGCATTTCCCCGGAGGAGCTGGAGGAAGTGTCTGGAGAGAGGGAGGTCTGGGCATCTTTGCTTAAACTGCTGCCCCCGTGACCCGGTCCTGGATAAGCGGAAGAAAATGGATGGATGGATGGTTATTGTATGCTATTACTACTACCTTTTATCATAGCTACAGTGTTAAAGCTGCATTGAAGTTGTAATCCAGTTATTTATTATTGCACCTACGTAAATGTAGGGGCTTTCAAAGGGTGACTAATAAGAAATAATGGATAAAAGAGGCTAAGATACAGTAGCTGACTTGCAGCTCCAAAACACCCAGTCTAACATTTCCCATGTAACAACTTGGTGGTGTGGTTCCACTTTGAAACACAACTATACACATGTATGTACTGCAGACTCCAAGCCCAAACTAAAATATTTTAGATGACATCATAAAGGCATGGTATTCTTTACCATCTAATATTTTGTCCAGCCCTTTTATTTCAATGAGGCCAAGTAACAGACACACCTCTGTACAATGTGGTACAATCCAACAACACCACAATATACAGACCCAAAATAGCATTATGTTGAAATGCATCTCTTAAACAGTTTGAACAAAAATTTAACATTAACTTTCATGGAGGAGGATGTATTGCTGTCAGATTAGAGGGCATTTTTTTGTTGATAAACTGGACATTGAGTCCATATTAAGTCACATCTTTCAAATGTTTGCAACAAGATTTGTTACATTGTCATACAGTCCCTAAGTGAATTTGAAACTATTGCTGTCAAACAGAAGTATTATTTGTTTTAGATGCTGACTTTCCAATCTTAAAAAAAACTTTAGTTTTAGCTCTATTCATGGTTTGGTTTTCTTGTGTGACACTGAACTGTGAGGCATTTCCCCTCACATGTTCTGATCCACTGATTAGTATATTGGCTCTTCTTTAAAAGTTCCCCAAAGATACTGTACATCCATTTGGCTTTAGAGGCAGTAATGAGAATTTTTAAATCCTCAACTGGAATTATATCAAATTTTTGGGGTTGAGTAACAAACTTGCTTAACCAGCTAATGTGTTTTTATTATCTTTGTAATTGTTAGTGATGTTTGGATTGATTCCAGAGTAACATCATCACACAGAATGATTTTTTAAAGAGCAAAGCAGCATTAAACATGAGTACATAAAAAAGAAGGCAGTTAAATTAGTGAAAAGGTGGTCCACTATGAGATGCTATTAAAATGAATCTATTGTATCTGCTCTTTTGTGCAAGGAAGAACAGGAGCCCTACAAAATGACCTCCAGCAGCTACTTGTGTTCATGTTTCTGACCCAACTGTCAGAAACAGACTCCATGAGGGTGGGATGAGGGCCCGAGGTCCTCTAGTACGACCTGTGCTCACAGCCCAGCACCATGCAGCTCGACTGGCA